AGAGAGGTGGTACATGAGGTTCGCCAGTCAGAAACCAACCCAGACCTCCTGCATGGAATGTAAGAATTCTACTGAACCGCCACTGGGTGATTAAGTGTACACGACAGTAGTTTTATTTTAAGAGCATAAAAAAGCAGCCCAGTTGTGGCCATCTTATTTGAATACTACCATCTTCTCCTTTGAGATGGTTCTTTCTCTGCATGTGTCCTAGATGCTTGCGTTGCCTTTGGCAGACTGCTGCCTCATTTTGAGAGCCGATCTAGACTTGTTCTTAATGCTCTCCAAGAAGCTGATGGCTCCTCACTTTCCTGGCTCCCTGGCTCCATCTGCGTAACGACTTACCAGGAACTCCCTCCTTCATGCCCTAGCTCTGTCTGTTTATTTCTATGGCACCACCCTAGGGCCTCCTTCCTGAGCTTAGGAACCACTAGGCAGGGGCCCAATAAATGGTCCTTGTTGGTACCGATGATGGCATACCACCATGGATTCCTATCAGTGGAGACAGTGATGGCGAACACACACCGTTGACATAGTTACTTCTTGGTATATGTTAGTGAAGTAGCTCGTGAGCTTAGGGTGGACAGGGAGAAGTGATTGGCAAGCTTGTAGTGTGGAGCATATTGTTACTGCTGACAGAGAAGCCACGGAGGCTGTGAGCAATGTGTTCTTGCCCCCAATCCAATTTCTATATTCTGGGCTGGGAAAGGCAAGAGAACGTTAGGACTAGTTTGACTCATTATGAATGTAGGAAACTCTGGCCTTAGAAAAGCGGTCACATGGACTTCACGTGCTGGGTGGAGCAGCCTTGCCCCAAAGAGGCAAGAGCTGGCAGCCATTCAGTGTGTGATTCATTGCTTTATGGGTAGCTTGTCCAGGCCTCCGCACTGGGATCAGTCCCTTGCCTGCTCTTCCTAACCAAGGCAGGGCCAGCTATCGTCAGAGCCGTGGGAAAAGAATCTAGGTCTAAGGTGAGAACTACGACTGGTAGCTACATGTCTGTCCAACATCTGCCTGTGACGACTCCAGGTGAACCTTTCCCCCAGTCTTAAGGGTGGAATGCCCAATGCACCGACAATAATGAAACATGTTGCTCAGAAGTAGATTGCCAAGAATTTCTTCTGAGGTGCCTCTGGGTAGACTCAAATCTCCAATTTTTCACAGTGAATTTCTGGAGGCTGGGAAACAGGCATCAGGATATTTTAAATCATTTTCATTCTTGCACCTGGAGATAATTGTTCCCTTTCTGACTTTCCACAAGGCTTTCTCTAAGCTGCTCTTAGAAGCCTGCTAACATTATATTTCCTTTATATATATCATGCATACATTCATTATGAATATATATATATATTCGTTTAGATTAAGAACCAGATGCCAGGTTTTGAATCTTGCCTTAGGCCATGAGATTTTAGGCAAACATATATTTTTAAAGGAATACTTATTAAGTCTTTAATGAGACAAGGACAACACAACTACAGAGACATATCATCCTGATGAGGGAGACCATCAACTTGAGATCATAATGGGGTACAAAGGTTTGCTAAGATAAAGAGCTTTAAAAAGGACAAGGGAGACCAAAGAAAGGTGTCACAAAAACATGGTTGATGGCAGATCAATGCATGATAGTTGCTGGTGGGACTTTTGGTGTGGGATTAGGAGCCATGATTGGCACACATGCGTTCTGTTAGACAGAGGAGCTTACAATAATAGTCCAGGAGCTTCCCTGATGTGGTGAGGGTGCCACTTATGATTATACAATCCCCAGTACAGTGATCTCCATCAAGGGCCCCCTCAGGGAGATTGCCTCTTCCTGGACTGGTCTGTGTGATAGAACAAATCCACTTTCCAATGCAGTGTGTCTGAGGATGTGTATCCATATGCTTGATCAATGGTCAGAGAGAATTCAACAGCTGTGGTATCCACATGGGGACTCTGCAAATGGACTTTGGACTTTTATTATCATTCATAGTCTTCTGCAAATTGGGTACTCAGAATTTAAACTCTAATACAATTCCCTCCTCTGGTTTTGGATTTTATTATTTATAATCTTTGGATCACAGCTAACTGTGTTCCTTCTGTGTGGATTTTACTCACTTAGATTTAGGTGCTTGCTTTTAGACACTTTAAGCAAATTGTTAGATCTCTGTGTCTCAGTTTCTTTATCTCTAAAATGAGCCAAGGGTTGTAATAAGACCAACCTCAAAAGGTTATTATGAAATCAAAACTTAAATGAGTACCTGACACATCACATAAGGTCTATAAAAGTCAGCTAGCCCTGAAGGTGTAGTGGTTAAGAACTGGGCTGTGAGATCAGTGGGTGCCTACCATCCTGATACGGTCACTGAAGACAAACATGTGCATAATCAAAGGCGGTGAAGAAAGCTGATGGTGCCCGGCTATCAAAAGATATAGCATCTGGGGTCTTAAGGCTTGAAGATAAACAAGCAGCCATCTAGCTCAGAAGCAACAAAGCCCACATGGAAGAAGCACACCAGCATGTGTGACCA